TAGTTGAGGTATACCTATGATGAAAATTACAGGCCTCTCTCATCTTTTTAAGTGGGAGAACTTAGTGGCTGACTAAGTACTTTCTTGCCCCACTGGATGGATGGAACAAAAGCGGGAAGTTGCTGCTTTGGGGAAATATTTTTTTGTTAGTCCAATATGACTAGTCCCAAATTCAGCATAGACTGATCCCAACATAAAAAAAGTCGGGATGGAAATATCTTCTGCCAGATGAGAATTCTAAACTACTTCTGCATTGATATTTTGATATTTGTATCAGAATATTTCTCTGCTTTAAAATATCCACAATCTTAATCTAGTGAGAATAAAATCTTTATACAGATTCTTCGGCGCCTTTGTTAAATATTCATGTATTCATTATAAATGGCCTGGCTAGCTATTTTTAGTGGAATTTGCTTTCTTCAGTAGTTCTTTGCATCATTTTTGTTTAGTCTAGACAACAGAGCGTGTGTATCTGGGCAGGTGAGTGGCATCTGTTGCACTCCAGTGAAAGATCAGGTACACAGTTTGGAGTGCTTCTCGATCCATTGTTGTCACTGAAGGTACAGATGGCCTTTTGATGATTAGGAATGCCTTTTATTAGCTTAGGGTGGCAGCTGACATATGAATCTATTTGGAGGGCATCAGTTTCCCATGGTCTGTTAACTTCTAGAGCAGATTAACCAAATTGTGTTGTACATGGGCCTGCCTTAAAGATGCTTTGGAGGCTTCAGTTAATCTAAAGTACAGTTAATAAGTTTTATACAGGGCCTGCTAAAAATGTTTATGTGATGAAAGTGCTTTGTCAACTGCACCAGGTTCCAGTTGGTTTCAAGACCCAATCCAAAATGTTAATACTGGCCACTGAAGCCCTGAATGGTTTGAAGCCAAAGTATCCTACCTTAAAGGAGATAGGACTGGAGCACAGCTTGTCAATAGTGGGACCTGACATGTTAAAAGGTTTTCAAGGAAATTTGCCCACATTGTTAACTGGTGCCAAGCAAAGGCATACCCAGGCATTTTGGATATTAACAGTCCTGTTTTGAAATTGTAAGTGCCATGCTAGTGCAGTGCCATTGATATGAATCCTGATATTCACAGAACGTTGTATTTAAGCTTTCTTTTCTTTAAAAAGAGTGGATTAATCTGCTTTTTTATGATGAGTTATTGTAGACAAATAGTATAATTGATTCTTTATGCATCTCATGGCCTAGTTGCCATTTTGTGTGACATCCTGATGTGATGCAAGCAGGTTTTAATTATGTGGATGAGAACTTTGCCAGGAGTAGGACCTGCAAAGTTTTGTCCTTATTACAACAATGAAAAATGTCTGTTTCCCTCTCCTCTACTCCTCCAGATAGACAAATGAGTTAGAAGTTAGATTTATGAGCTGAACCATTTTGACCTCCAGTATGTAAAATGGGAAGGGCTGATTCCTGGTGCTGGCATCATTGGGCATATGATAAAGCTCATACTTCAGCAAAATATCCACTGCTGGCTCCACAGAACTCCTTTGTTACTGCTTATTTGTGTCCTTTCTATGAGAATAAAAGTGCAGGTAGTCCTCACTTACCAAGTGCCTCGTTTAGCAACAGTTTGAAGTTACAATAGTGTTTTTAAAAAATCCTTGCATTTTATGACTGTTGCAGCATCCACACGGTCATGTTATCACCATTTGGGCGGTTCACAACCCATGTGCACTTGTGACCATCACAGTGTCCTGCGCTCATGTGATCACCATCTATGTGCTTCACAACTGGGTTGCAACAAACAGTTAATAAAGAAGGCGGAAGTAAAATCATAAGTCACGGTCATGTGATTTTTCACTTAGTGACCACAGCATTTCACTTAACAAGTGAAGAAGTAAGGTCGTAAGCCCATCATGGTCACATGATTTTCCATTTAGGGACTGAGTTGCCGATCCTGATTGTGGCTGCTAAGCAAGGACTACCTGTAAAATTAAAACAGCAAAAGAGCAACCTTGAGCTTCCACTGTGAATGGTGGGCAAATTGACGATGGTAAAGATGACGTGGAGTGTTCAAAGGCTGCCCATTGAATTATTTTTGCTTTTAAACCCCACAAAACCTGGAATTTGATTAATAAACAAACAAACTTGCACTGGAAGTGGTGTTCAAGCCTGGTAGTTTAGAACTTTGCACAATCAGAAATGATAGTGCCCCTTTCTTTAGTTGAAAGAGAAGAGTCCTCTATAACTTGAAAGCTTTTGGAGCCGGGGAAGGAAGAATAAACAGACAAAAACCATTTTAAAGCCATTGTCCAATAGCTTTGTGTTTTGTATTCTGTGATAATAGAGTATTTGATCTTGATACAAAAGTGTCTAAAAACCTGCACCCTAGCAAATAGTTTACCATAGCTGTCATATGTATATATAATCCTCTTTAATTTGAAGCTAGTTGAGGTTTATAAAGGAGAAACTCCCACATAACATGTAGCTTGATTGTTCTCTGTTAGAATGCTGAGTGCTGTTACAAGATCAGTGTTTGAGAGATATAAAAATGTCACATATTCAGGTTTTGTAGTATTAGTATTTAGTGTCCATCAATTTTAAATTTATGTTTGTTGTTACACTGCATTGACACTGTTTCTTTCTCTCTGTCCATACACATGCGTATATATACTGTAAGTGGTTAATGGGGCCCAAAAGGTTTCATAACATGATATAGTAAGGAGGAGTTGATAATATCTGTATTCTCAGATTAAAGGGGGTTGGGAGGGGGGAAATGGTTCAGAAAACTAGATGTCAGTTAAAGATCTGTTCAGGCAAGGGCTATTTTTCCTTGGATGGAGGCCACAATATTTATATTTATATTTATCCTGAGAGTTATATTGGGTGGATCTGGGATTAACTGGATTTTCTTATTTTTCAGGGTTTTAAGGGAGGAGTAAAAAATAATTTTACTATTTTAAGCCTAAGGCATACAACATGAAAGCAGCAGTTGAATTTCTGTGAAGTTAATCAGAGGGAGCTCTTGAAGATTTAGGAAGGTGGGGGCTAGAGGGCTAGAGCATTTTAGCCCTGCCCTTTTTGGCATCACCTCTTCAGCCCTTGCAGGATGAACTCTTTTGAAAAAGGAGAGGGGAAATGGTGTAGTCCAGGGACCAGAAACATTGCCTATCACTAGCTTTTTCTGATCTCATTGACTTTTGCTTGTAATTTTATTGCATGTTAGCAGATGTCAGCATATAGGTAAACTAGACTGATCTCAGGAAGGTTATGTAGGATTAGATGAGAGACTGTCAGAAAATCCTAGGGTTGCATGCTGGATTCAGATGACAAAAAACATCTGCAATGGCAAACCACTTCTTTATAGTATTGTTTGAAAGAAAACTACATGGATGAGTCTATGTAGTGGAGTCAAGCTCAACTCAAGGGAATCTTTTAAAATTAGTATAATTATTATGTTCAGTGATTTCAGAATCATCTAGCTTTGAATAAAATTAATAGCAAAGCCTCTCTTTTAAAATTACTTTACACTTGGTGCTATGGACTAATACATTCATTCCTATGTGTACATAATAAGCAGTGAACACACTGCCTATTAGAAAACTAAAAGAAAAGCTTTTGCTCTAGCACTTTCAAACTGATATGTAAGAGTGTATTGTATTTTCCTTTTCTTCCCTTTTCCAGTTCTCATTGTACAACTATATGTTCTAGCATGTGATTAATGCTAGAATGGGTCTCTTCACTTCTTTGTTGAATTTTTCAGGGCAGGAATTTTAAGTCATGCAGCACAGTGAGGATAAAGTTGCTAAATAGTAGAAAAAAGGCTGAATCTTGAAAGAATCTTGCAGGAGAAAAGGGAGGAGGAGGATAGGTATAAAGAAACAAAATATAATGAATGAAATGTAGTGGTAGATTTTATCCTTGGTATAGTCTGAAGGAGAATCTGGCCTGGCAAAATGCAACCATCTTTTTCCATTTCCCATGCAGGGACTGGTATTGCTTGGTGAGATGCCTCCTTCTGACCCTGTATTAGGTGATTCAACCCATAGTCTTAGTGTCGACCTCAAGCTAGAGCCTGGAATTGACAGACTGGTAAGTACTAAGAGTGGACTCCTTGGAATACTGTTCTTTCATTACCCCTCTCCTTCCATGCTGACATTATGTTGCTGTATTTTTGTTTTATTGATTTCCTTGTTTCTAGGCTAGTCTTGTATATATGCATTTCATAGTTGTATGGGGAAAAAGACGGTCCTTCTGTTGCAGTTTTTTCTTTTGTCCCAGTATTTGGAGAATTCCCAGTTTAATACATTAGGGAATAGCTTTCTGCCCTCCAGGTGCTCCCAGAATCACCTTATTACATCAGTTGGCATCCACAAGACATTTTTTCCAGAATAGCATATTACCGCAGGCTACAGATGTATACTTTATTAGAAGTTGGGATGCAGTTTCAAAATTCCTGAGCACTAGAATAACATACTTGTTTTTATATTTAAAAATTCTGTTCTGCCAAAATACAGCATTCAGACTAGCTTTCAACTTCTTTTTTTAAAATCAAGACATTGTGAAACAAGCATCAGCAATGCAGCTGATTAAGAAAAGCAGACAAAAATAATTTAAAAAGTGGATGAATGAGTAAACCAGACCTACAGTTGGCAGCAACTGTGTAGGTGGGACCTAGTAAATGATTCTGAGAGAGATGAGATTCAGTTGTTCACCTGTTTTCTGGAGGAGCACAGGTGAATGCACTCCAAAGTAGATAGTACCCAGTGCCAGATTGGTTCAGATTCAAGGGGCATCAGGTGCTTTTGATCAGTCTGTGGTCTGAAATATCAACATTCTTAGGTTCTGGCAGTCAGGTTTTACTCATGGATGACTAGGTACTGGAGGCTTTCTATCCATGACCTGGCATCTCTTAGGAATGCTTAGCAAGTTAATACAGTGACAGTTCTTCATGTTTTTTAAAGGAATGATTGTATTTGTTTTGCATACAAAAGGTCCCAAGTTCAGTCAGGTTACTTTGGTAGCAGACATTTACTTGAAACCATGAAGAGTAAATACATATTAACATACTGTCTGAGTAAAATGAGCAAGTAAGTGAGAAGTCAGATAAAGGTAATCTGCACTTGTCTGTTGGTCTGATTCTGTAAACCTTCACAATTGCTTGCCCAGAGAGATTGTTCAGGTGGTATGATTATATCTGTCAGTGACATCTGACTTAGGCAAATTTCACAATTGCAATCATATTAAATTGGGTGTGTGAACTTCTTTCATAGGAAAGCAGAAAGCTACATGACTAGTGGGACCATTTGATTAGAACCATCCACAGTGACAGGCAGCATCTTCCTAAACTTTTAGATAAGAGTTTTCTTAGTCTTACCTGGGTATGTCTTTAAAATACCCTCTTTTTCTAAGACCTTTTGTTTAGAGCAGACTGAGCAACTTAGTCAAACACTGCCAATTTTCATGCCTTTGATCAAAAGTTATTGCATGTTAATTGCTATTTGCATTATAAATAACTGCAGATGCTGAATACACACAGGAGAGGCTATAAACTTGTACTTTGTGGTAGAGCTGGATATAATCTGTTACTTCATGAATCTTATAGTGATGCCTTTGAGTCTGTATCTGAAATGTACATCAGCTTTGATTTCCCAAGGTATAAAGGAAAAGGCTTGCCAGTTGCCTGCTCCCCTTGTCTGCAGTTCAAGAAAACTACTCAGTGGGCAGGATTGCTCTGCTTAAAATTGGAAGATGGATTTAATTCTGTGTCTCCCCCTTGTCCCTTTTACCTTTGGCCCCATAGTTTGATTCGGTGCTGGCAATATTGCCATAAAAGATAAGCTCACTCACAGAATTCAAAATTTTGTTTTTGCTTCTTACTTGCATTTGCAAAGCATTTAAATAGCATTGCCCTTGTATAACATGATACTGTGCAGGAAATAATAGCAGATCCAGTTCATAGGGGACTGAGTTGGTAGACTGCACGTGGTGGTTTTTCTGCTCCTCAGAAAACATTTTTAAAGTTTTTTCTCATTTTAAGATGTCCCAGATTTGTTTTTGTAAAAGCTTTCAGGCTTTCAGTTGCTTGAAATATTATCCTCAGTTGACATGCATTTTTGTCTTTTATTCATGTTTTTCCTCTTCATCCATAAATGTACAATATTGGTCTGTAGGTTCTAACATTTTTCTTCATACGATAAAGCAAATTGTAATTGGTAAAAGCGTGTGATAAATGCATTCATCTTTAAAATCCCACTAGATTCTTTGTTTTGTGCAAAAACTAATATGGCTGCTCTTTTCTTTGATCCATTTAAACTCTCCCCTTTAAAAAATGCTTTTTGGGGGGCAGGCTAAAAACCTCTTTTAAAGCTCTGGACTTCCTTCAGTATTCATTTTGAGTTTGAAAATGACCTTGTCATAGACTTGTAACATTAACACAAAGTTAAAGGTAAGCTATATCACTGTGAATCAGAAATATGTAAACCACTGCTCTATTTTAGATAGCCTTTCAAATATGGTTGACAATTTTATTGGACCTTTCTCAAACATTCTTTACGGTATAAGGGTTAGAAACTTGGTTTTAGAAAGGGATAATTATGAAAGATTAAACTTTTAAGTTTTCAGTGGGTGTAAATTTAAACATAGAACAGTAACACGCTCTTCTAAAAGGAATATAGAGCCTCTGCATCAACTTTAGTAGGCTATTTTGGAAACATACAAGGTATTGCCCAGGTCTTCCTGTGTGCATCTGTACATTTGAAGGTTTTCTTCAGGAAGGGATCTCTATATGGGAGGCAGTTTCCATAGATGGAGACTTTAAAAAGAGATTTGCTTGCCCATCATTAAAGAAGTTTTGGGTTGGGAAAACTGTTTTAAAGTAAATTGTTATTAGAAGAGCATCTGCGAAGATACAGAAAATGCTGCATCTCTGAGTTAATGGATCTTTGAAATCATCCCTCCATGTTTCAGCCTGTTGTAATCTTTGTTGCTGAGTATCACACAGTTCGTATTCTCAAATACTCTGATTCCCAAATACCACTGGCGGTTGTTAGAGTTTGCCATGTTAGAGAAGAACCAGAAGAAGCTCTTTACCAGAGAGTTGTATAATTTTAACAAGGATTTATTTTCTCCCCCCTCCCCAAACCCTCATTTCTTATACAGGGCACCTGCATCTCCCAGCCATCAGAGAACCTTTGTATATCCATTAGTAATACCCAAGAGTCTCTACCTGCCAAAACCTGTGGAGTGCCGAGGCCGGTCAATGGAGTTATTAACACGTAAGGTTCTTGCTAAGCCTCTCCTTAAGAAAATATAAACTTTAGAAAGGTACTTCTGTAAGGCCACCCTTGAAGGTATTTAGGCTTGTAAGTGTATATAAATCAAACTATTCCTATTATTGATGGTATCAACATATCATATCTTTTCTAGAAGTCTTATAGATAGATAATCTGGAGAAGCATAGGAAGTTCTAAGTGTGAATGAGTCAAAGGGCCTTCCTCAACCTGAAGTTCTCGAAATATATTAGACTATAACTCCCAGCATGGTTGAGCAGGCTGGCTCAGGAAGCTGTAGACCAGCTAATCTGGAGAATGTGTTGGATTGAAGAAGACCTAAAGTAAAAAGTGATGGAAAGTTGACAGGATGAATCTAGTGGAAAGTTGGTGCAGGCATTGTGTGCAGAAAATGGGATAGGATGATGGTGAAAAGAGTGTGGATGAGAAAAATGTAAGCCAGGGAGACATGAGAGAGTAAGGACAAAGGAAAAGCAGTAGCTGACATTTCCAAATAATGAAAATCTAGAGAGCTGCTGACAGGTAATGTGTACAGCAATCTGTCCTAACCTGGTATTCTCTGTTGATGTAATTCAGATAATTCCCAGCCAAGTTGATTTTTGGACAGAGTCATGTTCAGACTGGGTGAGCAAGAATTATTGTTCGGTAAAAGGCAAAATTCTGTATATCTGAGATAGTTACATAGAGCCTTACATTGTAAGAATCCCCCCCAAATCAAACAAGAATTTTTGGGGTACTGACCTTAGTTCTGGATCTTTTACTATATGCATGGATTTTTAAAAGATTTTTTTATCCTGCCTTTATTGTTTTTTTATAAACAACTCAAGACAGCGAACATACCTAATACTCCTTCCTCCTCCTGTTTGTCCCACCACAACAACCCCGCAAGATGAGTTGGGGTGAGAGAGAGTGACTGGCCCAGAGTCACCCAGCCGGTTTTCATGGATTTATTGGTTTGCCTGAACAAATGTGCCTCTGTTTTTAGGTAATGGAAATCTGGCTCCCTTTAGTGATAGACAGAGAATTAGAAATGTCTAATGTGCTGTCTTTCCATTCTTGGACAGTCTACAGCCAGGTTTGACAGAGCATGCTCAGGGAGACAGCTCAGATACTGAGGAACTGTTGCGGAAAAAGCAGAGATTAAACATGGTGTCTTCAGCTCCTGATGGAACCTGTGTGGCAGCCCGCACGCGCCCTGTCCTCAGCTGCAAGAAACGGCGGCTTGTTCGACCCAGCAGTCTGGTTCCGCTATCCAAAAAGGTCTGTAAATTGATAAGTTAGGGCAGTAGAAAAATGGGGGGGGGGACTTGCAGCTCACTATCACTATCATATAGAGATAGCTAAGTAACAAATTGTTGGTTTTACATACTGATTTTTTTGCCCCATATCATTATAAAATCTGCTTAGAGTACCTCTGATATTCAAATAAGGTGCATTTATTAGTCCTTATGTCAGTGGGATTTTTTTTAGGCTATTCCTATTAAATGAGCTTGGCATTGAGTAGGAAAGACTGGGAGAAGGCTACATTTTAAATCTTGATCATTTGACTGGAGAAATGGGCAGAGGAAGGTGGTTTCACTTCTCCTTCCACTATGCGTATTGTTTTGGGAGGTAAGATTTACAATTTTAAATGCCCTTTAAGTTTAATTGCTGGATCACTGGACCAGTAGCATTCTTAAAAGAATGAAAAAGCATGTCTCTCTTGCAGGATAACTCAGCAAGGGGTGTTGTGCAGATGCACTTAAAGAAAACATATCAAATCTTTTTTAACTAGTTGACCCTTTCCTTGTTTTTTTTTTAATGATGGTTTCTATTAGGTAGCCATTTTGGTGATTTACCTGTGTGCTTTTGAATGGGTACATTTTAGTTTAAAAAATGTTTAAATGGCTACAATTCTCAGCATGCTGAATTCTGAATCAGTTCCAAGTTTTGTGTTTGTGCTCAGTTGCAGGATCAAATTACCATTAATATCAGTTGTTTTTTAAAAACTTTTTTTTGTTGTTCTTCTCTCCGCCCACCCAATTTAAAAATTGTTAATCTAAGTTTTTAAGAAAGTATGCGTTTTCAAGCCAGACTGATCTGTTTTATTGGACCGGTCTGCTAGGCCAACAGCTTAGGGCAAATGTTGTATTGGCAGTCAACAAATTTAAATTTGTTTGTATGAATAAACAGAAGAGGCAGTATATAGAGTGTATACCTCTAATGAAAGTAACCAGATTTTTAGATGATAATTCTAAGTACTTCAGTATTGGAGATCAAGCGTTACAGTGCTCACTTTCTGATACAGAAAAAAATGACACTTTTTCCCCAAGAACATGAACATTTAAATATCTTAATTTGGGATTATTGTATCATCATGGATATTGGAGAGCATTTCTTTGTTTTAACTGGAACATTAGTAGGGTGAAGGACCAATAGTGCATAGTCATGTTTCTGTGGATACTTTAGAACTTGCAAATAGCAAATGTTCTGTTATTAGTCTGTAAATAGTAGTTTCCTAGTCTTGAATGAAATCTGTATTGAGGGAGGCAACCGCAAAAGCTAAAGTACAGGTAGTTTGCCCAAACAGCAGAGAAAGCTGCACCTGTAGTTGTCCTCCTTAGGCAAATTCAGAGTCAGACTCTCACTCACCCATCCTGTTCCCTTTCCCCTCCCATCAGATCATCTTGAAGGCTTGTTTAAATGCTTTGTATAGTTTCCTCCAACAACCCCAGTCATATACTTCCTTTTTTCTTCGCACTGATTCTACATTCAAAACTCCCTGGATCATTCCTAATCCTTTCCCGGCTGCCCAGTGCCACCCTGAGGCTTCCTTCCTTACCAAGCAGTGACAATAAAGCATGTCTTTCCCTTTATGCTTTGGGCAACCAGGAGCACCACAAAGCAAACTATTGGTCTCCAGCCATCCTGATATCTCATGTTGTGAAACCTGGAGTAATTCTGCGAAATGAAAATGGCAGGTGATTGGAGACCAGGTCCTCAGTTTGAAACAAAGTGCAAATTGATGCCTTCTTCTAGATTGATGGATTCTAGCCCTTCTCCCTATCTCATCTTAACGTCTAGGTTCATCGTAACAACATGGGACGGTGTGGTTGTGACGTGAACCCCTTGTGTGCTCTCTGTGGCACTCGAAGCTCAATGCCTCCAGAAATCCAGTATGAAGCCCCTTTGATGGAGCGTCTCTCACAGTTGGATTCCTGCATCCACCCTGTACTTTCATTCCCAGATGGTAAGAACGACCCCATTATCAGATGTGAATAGCGAAAAGAGCTGAACAAAAGTCAGCTCCTCATTCCAGGCTAGCTTGGAAGCCATATCTAGGTAGTGGTAAGGTCTCTACTTTTATCCTGTCCTGCATAGGATGTGGCCTGAGGATGATCCTTTGGAAGCAGAAGCCAAGTCAGTTTTTTCTTGCTGAGACCATAGAGAGAGGCAGGCAGCCACAGGGGTTGTTGAGGCTGAACAATTTTGGGTAAGAGAAGATTTGAAAAGGCATTTGCTTTGGCCATCCTATGACATTGAGCTACCTTGGCACCAATGCTAGGCATTCCTGGCCTAGTTCAACGATGGCTGCATGACATGTGCTGCTAGAGACCTAGTAGATAGAATTTAAACAACAATTGGGCATCTCTTCCCTCCTCCTTTCCCCTGCCCTCAGCCTGCTTCTCTCTGTACTATGTGAGGTTGTTAATGAATGTTCTGCCCTCGTCTGGATGATTTGATATGTGACTGGAAATTTCCAGATGACGTAATAACATCATAACAACCTTGGTGAAAAGGATGTTAATCAGGACTTTAAAAACAGCTAAGATAGCGCCATCTGGGGCTCTTGAGAGAAAGCTACTGCTCTGAAGCATTTGGTCAGGGGAAAAAGGCTGTTTTGGCAGGTCACGATGCTCTTTTGGCGCAGTCAGATGTTGGCTAGCAGTACAACAGGGAGGAAAAGTAAACTGAATAATCAGTTGGATGGGCTGATCAGAGAGAAAAATGGCTTGTGTTTGTTCGTGCACTTCTCTCTTCCATATGCATGCACACAGATAACATTATTATACTACTACAGTACAGCCTTCTTAAGTTATCTGCATTTTCAGTGTTTTCCATCATTTGTACTTTATTAACATGTGGCTAGAGTAAAAGCAGGAGACTTTGATTGGCAGATTGATTTGAATTTTTCTGCTGGGTGCATTTTAATTTTCAGCCCATCCTTAGCCTATTATCCAGGCTGCTTTTTATTAATACCTGTATTCACACACTCTCATCAGCTGATCTCTCAGTATCCAACTGCCTTTCTTACCTTAAGCCTGTCCTTAGTTTTATTTACAGTGCTTGAATACTGCCCATTTTGGAATATTCTGGGCAGATAACTTATTTTCCAAACCAGCTGGGTACAACTACTTCCATGCTGAAACTGTCCTTGGCTTTGAAGTGCTGTGCTGAGAGCTGCACTCCACACGTGGTAGGCAGTAGTAGGGCAAAAACTAAATTGGATTTTATTTCATTTACATTTGCATTAAGTAAGCATTAAACATGATTATTGACTAGGAATATACTTCCCTTCACATTAAAAAGTACTGTTTGCTAAAAGTTTTGAAAATCTCCAGGGAATTCACAGAATGCTTTGGAATGGGGGGTATGTGTGGATAGGATGTGGCCTTGTATCCTTAAGTTGTTTATGTGCTCTAAACAAAGGTACAACTTTGGCTCTTAACTAGATTAGAGTATGTGTGTGTACACCTCATACATTTTCATGCTTACCTTTATCTATTGAAGGATGCCTACATACTTAACACATATTTTCTAGTACCTTGTTTTCAGGCTGCGCGCCAACCCCCCCCCCAACTTTCTCCTGGTCATGTATGAAGTTTGTAGTTTCTCTCTCTCTTCACGGTTCTTCCATTTCTCTCCCCCCCCCCCTACCACACAGAGAGAGAGAGAACTAGCAAACAAAAATTTGAACTGCCAGTGATCCAAGTAGGTGGAAGTATGAGCTGGTTGGTACTGGATAGACTAGGGCTGTGTATTTTCATTGGGTGAAAATAAAGCACTTGTTTTGGATAGATTGTATTTGAGAAGTGATCAAATTGATTCTTCATTTATGTGGAAAAGCTTTCTTTAACTAAGTGTTGCTGTAGAGACATTAATTCATCTTCAGAATTTTACTGTACGACAAACATGCTGTCATAATTTAAGGGGCACTTGATACTTACATTATTTTAAGAACCCTTACTTTGGGTTTTAAAAACTCATTTTAATCCACCCAAGTAAAATGCAACCTGGGATAGAAATTGAATTTTTTCCACAGAAAGCTGTTGGTATTTCAGTTGCAGGATGGCGGCTGCTGCTGCTGTTGGTACTTTACACACAAAACTCTTGTGCCCTAACTGGAGGTGGAGCATGCTCAAAGAGAGGGACTATTTTTCCTTTCCCTATTTATTTTCTACCTTTTCAGTCCCCTCAGGAAATTTCTTAAAGCAGTTTACAGATAAAAACAACAAAAATTAAACTAAGAATGTGAGAGCAAAATCTTATAAAATATGAAACAGCATCTTAATTAATGCAGTAATACAATAACCATCCTATGGCTCTTTTTTGGGGGGTCCCTGTCCAAAAAAACCCACAAAATCATGTCTCCTAGATGTGTTGCTGTTGAAGGCTGTGTTAGCTCAGAATTCCAGTTGCTCAAGAAATCTAGAGGGCACGGGGTTAGCGTAGCTGTAGTTCAGCCAATATTGGTGTTTTCACTGCTGGGTGAAAGTGGAGAACTCCATAAATACGGCTTATTTTTGCTTCTGAATGGCTGCATTTTTGGTCCATAGTAGTCACCTACAACTCTCCAAATGTATGTTTAGATAGGTTTAGTGAGGAATTTCATTCTGCATTCATAATGTTTGTTTGTTTGTTTGTTAATTAAACCAATTTATATAGCCACCCATCTCACCACAGGCAACTCTGGGTGGTGTACAACAAAGCTAAAAACAGTCAATAAAAATATGCCATCTTTATTCTGAATGATGTCTGATAATTGCCTCCTTTTGGTTTTTTTGTCTGTGTATGTGTGCATGTTCATTTTTCTGCAGATGTACCAGTGAGCTTGCACCTTCAGAGCATGTTGAAATCCCAAATGCAGAACAAGCCCTGTGAGAAAATCAAACCTCCCAAAAAGCTCACATTGAAGCACCGACCCACCGTGCCTCCCAGCAGTTTGTCTGACTCAGTGCGCAAAGACCGTCACAAGCTGGTTAATACCTTTTTAGCTGCAGCCAGTAAGTGCCTTCATTGATTTTAATCTTGAATTGGCAGGAGTTACCCATGTGGTCCTGCAGAGTCATCTGTGTGTATGGCTTAAAGGGAGCCAGGACTCTGCTTTGAAATGCGATTAATGCTAGTGCCCAGCCCTGGAAAAGGAAATAATAAATAAGAGACTGCCTCTGAGCATACATTGAGTACTTCGGCCTCCCATAATAACAGTAGACAAACTCTGAATGTAGGCTGGGCTTCCAGAGTTATAGGCAGCCTGGAGACCCAGCACCACTTTCTCCCTTTGGAGGTATAATTTCTGGCAATATGTCCTGTCTTACACTGAGCCGCTTTAATTTAGCTTTAAAGAAAAAAAATGGTTAAATGGGTTAGTTACCCAGAAGAGGCTTAAGAGCACAATTTCAAGTTTATATTTATGCTTTTAAAGATTCATGTGTGCAAATAATAGTTAAGCAACGAAAAAAATTAGCCAAGAACCAATGGTCCACTGGCTATTGAGATGCAACTTCGGCTTGTTTCCCGTCCTGCTTCTTGCAGTGCTTAGGCAAGTCAATGATACAAGGGACTTCACATTTGTTGAAAAGAAAAATGCAGTATGAAGAACTGAAGAAATTAAACATGTAACCCTTTTTGAAGGATTACGTTGCATAGAGTAAGAATGAAAATAATGTTTAATATTAAAGACATAATGGTGTCCCTTATTCTGAGCCAGGTCTGCTCCATTTAGCCTAGAGCTGTGTATTCTGGCTTGAAAAACTTTCATCCAGAAGTCGTCTTTAATCCTTCTGTTTGACAACCTTTTTATCTGGAGATGCCAAAGGTTGACCTGTGACTCTGAGCATACAAAGCATGGATTCTGCTATTGAGCTCACCAACCTCCCCTTCCTTTCCCTTTTCTCACAAGATAGGAGCAAATTAATTTTCTGAAATATGATGTCATAGACCATATGACCAGGAAAACCTTTTCAAGGAGTCTAGAAGTTGTGTTGGAGCATGAGGGAACTGGTCATTGTTGGGTAATGATATGGAAAAACCATGATGAGTCACATCATGACCTCATCATACATCATGAGTACAGTGCAGTCACTCTTCTGAATGTTTCATGGTTATGATATGTGTTGTTCTGGAGCTGAAAACAATTAAACATGGGTTGCATGTCCCTAAATGAGCAAGAGAAAATAGGTTTGCATGCATGCACCTATGCCTGTTCCTACTTTTTGAGTGGGTGATCCAATTTGAGCATCAGAAGCACTGTATATAATCAATAAACTGTAAAGGTAGGTTTATTACTTAAAATAAAGCAAGACACATACCCCTGCTACTCTTGGTTTGTGAGAATGTTCTGCTTTGGTCAAGTAGCACCATCTGTAATTGCATCTTGGCTGTCTTAGAGAATGGATCTGACACAGTGTTCTAAAACACATGGGCCAGAATGGAAGACAGCCTATTAGAAGCCATGGCAGGGCTGGGTGCAGCTCAAAACTTCTGTGCTATAGCAGGCCTTGCAAACAAGATGGATGGATGGATTTTTACAGCAACTGCTAAGTTAATGGGGTTGTCACTGGAGGGCAGTTGCTGCCAGTGGCTCTTCGTGTTGTTCTGGCAGTCATGCTTGTGTGGCTCCTGGGGTCTTGTCTAGGCTGGGTCCTGAAAGGCAGGAAAGAGAGGTGAAAGCAGGGCGTTTTCATGGCTCTCTTTCTGTTCCACTCCTCAGCTTGCTCACATCACAAAATCGAGCCAGACAAGGCACACAGGCAGCCCTTAAACGATGTGAGGGCTGCCCCCAAGGCCGAGAGAGCGCCAGAGCGCTCACTTATCCTGACGGCAGTTCATGAGAGAAAGCGATTGCGGGACAGCTCCTCCGAGAGAAGTGAAGGTAGGCTGGCCCCAGCCAGGTCTGTCCGGGGAGAGCTTGGGTTCTGCATTCTGCTCCCCTCCTCCCTTTGGAGATGATTGCTTGCTGCTTCTGGGGAATTAAAGGGGGCAGTAGTGTCACCTGCTGTAGTCTCTTTTGTGTGCTTTAACAATTTCCTCCTCTAGAGAAGCAGTTCAGCCAGAGGAAGTTTCTCTCACTTAAGTGTGCTCTGGTTCTTCTATGTAGATTGCTATGTAGATTACTGGTGTAATGCTTGTGGGTGTAATACAGGCATTGTTTTCACTCACTGTTCTCTTTCTTCCTTATTTTTTCTCTTTCTTCTATGCACAGTGTTGAAGCATCATGCAGAGATTGGAGGCCCAAGTTATTTGTCAAGCACTATGGCCTCCACGGCTCACAGTCCCCTCATGCGACAACTCTCCACCTCCTCTGAAAACTCCATCCCTCCTGTCACCACAAGCTCCCTGGGCAGCTCCAGTGCAGCTGTAAGTATCTTTGGGTGGCTGGGTGGGTTACCTGGCAGCTGCAACTGAGTTAGAGTTTGATTTCTTAGTGCCTTCAGGATGCAGTGCACTGCATGACACAAGTCAGTCCCTGTCTCAAGGTGCTTGAGAGCTAACCTTGACTTAGAAGAAGAATTAGGGCAAAGAGGAATGACTTGAACAGAGGGAAGCATATGTATTGTTTCTGTTGCTGCTCTTTTGTTTCAGTTATAGGGTATGGGAGGCAAGGGATTGTATCAGAGGTACAATGGAAAAGGTGGTTTTTAGCTTTTAAGGTCATCAGTCTTCTAAATAATCGGATTTAGATATGGTGTCCCAGTCTGCAACAGGGGGGAAAGAACTGTAGTGAAGAAAGCAGGCTTCAGAAGTTGGGAACAAGGAAGCCCTGAATCCTAGTGAAGGATGCTAGCAGAAGGGGTGGAGGTGGGAAGTGGCAGTTAAGAAATGAAATGTACTTTCAGTCCCATGCATGGAAGGAGGACTTTATGGCTTGCACCTTGGGTAGGACCATTCTGGGCAGGGTTGCTGTCCAGCTGAACTGAAATTTCTCAGTTGTTCTGTGTTTTGGCCCAGACAAATTGGAAGGGATATTACAAAGGAAGTAGGGCAAGGCTGGTGTACCTCTCTCCTCCACATAGCCTGCTCTCCTTCCCCTCTCTGTCTTGCCACTGCTTCCTTTGCCTTAACTGTATACCACCACTCTTTCAAGCTTAGCATATCTATCTGTCCACCCAGCCTTCCCCTAACCTACCTTTGCCCTCTTTCCCCTTACTTCTCCTTGGCTGCACACTACTGTTCCCCCCTGTGCATAATTAACAGCCTTTCTATCCCTCCCTCAATCATCTTCTGCATTCTTTAGCTCCTGCCTCATGCTACCATCTCTGATTTTTCCACTGTCCCACTCTCCCCACTGCAGAACACCTCTGCCTGGAATGTACATGTTATGGGCTCAGAAAAAAACCGCATATTCTAATCCAGGCACGGACTTCTCAGAACTTCCCATCCTGTGTATGGAATAGTCTGTACATAGGATGCTTGGAGTATTAAATTGGGACAGGGCCATAACCAATTGTATTGTGTGCCCAGACTCAAGGAAAGCAAGGTAGTTGATAGTTAATCATACCTGAAATATTTCAGCAGTTGCTAGTGACAAGTGAGCTTCATTTGGCTGGATTTTGTTTTCCAAACTTGTCAAGCATTTAGAAAAATACTGTTTTCTGGGGTCCCTCTTGTGGTTTATTTTCTTGGCATTTGAACACTGATAGTGCTGTACATATTCACTGTGTTTGGGTTCACTGGTCCCATATTCATCCCCCTTCCTTCCCTCTGCCAAACAAGCTTATTTGTTTGAAATAGTGCTTAATTTTAATATAAGTGAGCATTTCAAGCTAGATAAATCTGTGTAGCATATCAGATAAAAGTAGAATTTCAATGACATCTCTAGAACAAGAGAAGTTCAAGGTAGCATTCTAGTGTGCTTACTTGGAGACTTCCTTGATTGGACATAGTCTTCATCAGGACAAGCTGAAGTACCATTTTAGCCAGTGTAGGGTAGTGGCTAGGGTGCTGGACTAACCCCAGGGATTGAAATCCACAGTCAGCTATAAAAGTGTAGTGGGTAATTTTGGACCAGTCACAACTGCCAGATTAACCTCCTGTATAGGGTGGTTACAAGGATAAATTAGAGAAAGAGATATGGTGTATATTTCTTTGAACTCCTGTAAGAAAGGCTGGATGTTATTCTAAGAAGCAGTCATACTTTCTTGGCCAAATTTGTGTTGAATAGAGAAATAATATTTCATATACCATTTGAATTTGCAATTGCTAATTCATTTCATTCATCCTGCAAAAGGCCTGTCTGTATAAAGAGTTGACATGGTCATGATGGCACATAATCAGTCAATCAGTTCCATTCATAAGGGAGGCTCCTACAATTAGAAGTAACAGGAAAATAAGTTAATCCAGTTGAATGTTTTATCTGTTGGACAGATGAGAGCAGAAAGAAAGAAGAAAGCTTTAGGCACTCAATAAAAACTTGTACATACCTGGCACATTCCAAATATATTGGAATGCTATGGCTGGAGGATGTTGGAAGTTGTGGACCAGGTCAAGTTCTCCAGATGATTTTGGACTCCATCTCCCGTCAACCATACCAGTGACTATGCTTGCTAGTTATGGTGGAATTTCAGTTATTTATTTTTGTGTTTTTCTGCATATAGAGCAATCAAAGTGACTAATTGTTTGTTTTTGGTTTTTTATCTTATTAAGAATTGTTAAAACTACTGTTAAGCTAACACAATTGGAAAAGGACTGAATTAAGAAGGTGGTTTTGATCACTTTCCTGAAAGCAAAAAGAGTGGGAGCTGAGCATGGTTCCTGAGTGAGCATACTCCATAGCTTGGGAACAAGGCCATCTCTCACGTGTCTAGCAGATAAACGTCAGAAAGTGAAGGCATCTCTAAAAGAACCTCTTCTGCTGACCCTCATGATTTAAGCAGGTGGTCCCTTAGATAGTGAGGTCCTAAGCGATTTAGGGCTTTAAATATTAAAACCAATACCTTAAATTATGCCTGGAAGATAGTGACAGTCAATGCAGGTCTTTCAAAACAGGCATGATATGCTCCTGATACTGTGTACCATTTAGTAGCCTAGCTGTTGCATTTCCTACCAGTTAAAGCCTTCAGACACTCGAAAGTAAAACCACACAGAACACATTGCAGTATAAGCTGCAATCTCGCCAGCTCAGGGACAGTCTCTTGTACACTAGATGTGATTGCGTGGTAACTCATGCCACCTGAAAATCCGGAGACAGTTGAGGGCATCAAGGAGCCCTTCCAAATGGTGGTCCTGCTCTTTCCCTGAGAATGCAATCCCATCCAGAATGATGAATAGCCTAGGGACAAGATGTTCAGTGTCACTGGCCATCTCTGCTTCAGACCCAGTGCTGCTAGAAGGACCAGCTTGGGAAAAGCTGGTCTAGGGTATAAATATCTAAATACATGCAGGAATAACTTTAATGTCACTAATTCAGATAGAGGCAAAGAACAGGGCCTTCCCTTCTGTTATTTGTGCTCACGGTATTATGATACTTGTGGAATCTCAAACAATTTTAACTTTGGTCTCCGTATCAGTATCTCTGTATGAGTTTGCAAGCAAAAATTGGGTCAAGAAATTTGCACCTCTGCCCTGAGTGGCTCCTATTGGTTCATACTTCATTGGACCTCTCAGGTACCTAAATAATAGTAGGTCCTTTGATGCAGGCCAAGTGCCTTTTGCTTAGCCAATCAGTGCCAAGATTTGTGTGTGTGTAACAATCCTGTTTTCCAACATAAACAGCTGAAGTGAGGCTATTAAGTCTCTTTGTCTCTGTGTAGCAGTGCTCCTGGCTAATTGCTTGTCTCATCTTGTGATTAAAGTGCAGTTTTAACAGCAGTAGATGCATGTGCTTGATTTTTATCCACTTTATTCATATTGGGGAGAAAGGAAGACACTGAGACAATGGTAAATCATAAGCAGTCATTGTAAACATTTATTGGTAGTATTGTTTATGGTATATTTTCATGTCTGATTTGCTCTACCTTAAGATTTCCCAAGTTGGATACCATTTTAAAAGTTTGAAATGTAATAAGGTTGGTTTCAAAAATTTCTCCATGTAGGCTAATTTTTTTTCCTAAATGCCTGTTAGTAAGTCATAACTCTTTCTTCTGAGCTTGTTGATACTAAAAAAAGGTCTAAGTATATTCTGCACCAAGTATTTAGAGCAGCAAGGAAGATACCTTGAGTATGAAATTTAGTTGAAAGACCCAATACAAATGAAGTAAATAAATGTCTTAATTGGGTATAATAATTTGGTATGAATTGCTGTATCAACAGAGCAGAATCTGAGAATCTCTTTAAGGAACGTGTGTAGAACCCTGTTCACTATAAAACAGCTGAAAGGAAAAGGCAAATCTGCCACAGTAGGGCACCCACTGAGCCCCAGATGGTATTGTCAAGGAAGATTGTTCCTGAAGATTTCTAGGCAAAAATCAGCAGTCACAAGCACTTGTTTTTAATGTTATGCTGGTGGGGTTAGGTATGCAGAGTATCTGTGAATGTTAGGAGCAGGAACATAGTGCACACTTGGAATTTTAGGAAGATAGGCTGTCTGGAAGAGAGGCTTTCTACTGAATATGTTTTACAAACTGGTTGCATTGTACAAAGCTGTGTATATAAGGCATTGTCCATTAACAAAATTACAGTGGAGGCCTAGAGATGCTTACTTTACTCCTTTTGCTTGAGGCTGCATGCTTCTTCAAATACCCAAGGATTTTTCTTCCGAACATACTAAATGAAAAAGCCAATTTCATCTAATCAGTATTCAGAAATTATCCTAGGATTGTTACCCTCTGCATAAACAAGTAATTCAGTTTATGTTGAGTATATATTCTGGCCCTTGGTTGTTTCATAGCTGTGAATTTTGCGGCCCAGAAAGAGTAGCTTTGCTTTAGTTTTACAAGATTGCTTAACCTGGAATTTACATCAGGAGCTCTAAGCTTTCCATTAGTAGCTGATTCCCTGGAATATTTAAACAAATTAGAGCTTATATAAATCCCCCCAAATTGTATTTGCAAACCCATAATATTTACATGTCTGCATTTAAGATCTTGACTGAGAATGAGGGTATCCAAATACATTGGCCTAAATTTTCTGCAGGAAAACTGGGAGATAAGTGTAATCAACATAGAAAGAAATAGGCCCCCTTGCTCTCTTGTCTGCACTGTCCTTAGTATTCCCAACAGGAGAGGTGAGAAGATGACAAGTCCCATGGTGCCAAAACTTGAGCACTTGCAGCAGCCATTTTCCTTTTAAATCACTAGATTAAAATGCCAGAACATTTGTTCTTTCTTTCTTGGGGTTGTAAGCTAGTTTTGAAATTTTTCCCTCTTCATTGTCACTGTCTGGTTTTCACTGTTGTTTTCTGCATTGTTTTGCAGCAGCAGCCAAGGAGGAGAAGAGGGGAAAGCTCTTTTGACATTAACAACATTGTCATACCAATGTCTGTTGCTGCAACGACCAGGGTAGAAAAACTTCAATACAAAGAAATTCTTACACCAAGGTATGTTCAGATGTTTAGTTAGCATCTTAAACTTCCATGTTCTTCCTGTTCTTCTAAACCAGTTGAATGGTGTAATGTCTTGTTTTTTAAATCTTTCCTCTGTAGATTGCTTGAAAATTACTGGGGGAGTACTTAATAAACTTTTTTTTTTTGCTCCACAGCACTAACAGAACAAGCATTAGTCTTGCTTTTTTCCGTTCTACAGACCATCTGAATGAAGTTTGTAGACCACCGTGGTTTGCAGACTACAGAGCACCTCTGATAAATAGGGACCCATGTGTAGGAGAACCTCTGGGCCGCAAGATGTTGCTGATCTATATTTCTCAGCTGCTAGCATGCCCAGTGATACAGGATGCTGGAAACTAGTTAAATAATTCCTACAAGACCACCATTGCTCTCTCAGTGGTCTAGAAACAAAGCAACTCTCTTAAGATCAGGTTAAGCATTCTGCTAAATAAGTTACACAATATAGGACTCCAGTCAAAATTGAGGGGGAAAAGGGAAAAGGAGCTAGTGTGTTCCTTTCACTGGCCTCCTTACAAAATCCTGTTTTCCAATCACAGGCCACGTTCCCATTGGGAGTGAAATTTCACAAGATCTAGCAGCTTGATCTAAAATACTTTCTTTATTGTAGGTTTTAGAGGATTATAGATGAGAATGAGGAAGGCTGAGGCCTTGATAGAATTTCCTTGTTATGTCCAAAGTCTGAATTCAGGTTTTCCTTGTGCCTGATACAGGCATGGATCTGTATTTTTCTAGGAAGAGTCATAGCTCAGCATGCTTTTAATTTAAAAGATCCAACATTTCAGTCTCCAGTTTAAATGTTCTCTACTGCTTGGCCAGAAATTAGAAAAGGGAAAAATTCAGCTGAATTGGAGCAAGACGGGCAGGGTGAGATAGTCATGGGAAGAGAATGTGAAATATTTTCCTCCCCTTTTTCTTTGTGCTGACGCTATCTTTTTTCATGCTATCATGGCAACAGCAATCCTTCTTAATGGTTGCCATAATATTACACTGTGGAGATGAATAGCTATCTGTAGCTATATCCCTTGGATCCCTTTCATCACCTTCACTCATCCACTCCACCAGTTTGCTGTTGGAAGTGAAAGACTTTCAGTTGATCCTTAGAGAAGCAACATATGGTTACTATTGTAATCAATAGAATATATTATACTGGGATTGGCAATCAGTAGGCATTTTCCCTCCATAATGCCCACACAAGCTCCAAATTTTTTTTTGAATGGCAAATCTCACAAGAGATATTGCAACGGGTAATTGGGGTTGCAGCCTAGTACATACAGGCAGGTCTAGATAAGGCTGCTAAGAACATTTGCAGGATCTGGAACAAAGATTTTTGATGCAGTCAAGTCATTTCCCTTATTTGCTTTGCCCAGGGCGCAGAAAGACTGAAGAGGTAGAAAAGTGTACTTAAAAATCAGGGCCCATCTTTGTGGCACTGAGGGTGGGAAGAGGCAGATAGTCTGAAATGCCATAGTAAGGCTCAGGCTCCTCCGTGGCTCTGACATTCCCTAGGAAGGTTTAAGCTCAGTCTTCAGCTACCTTCTTGAGTTGCTTTGATCCTCAATGAAAATATCTCTAAGTTCCATGGAGAAAAGGCCAAAGCCAAGTGTAGCAGAATTCCCTTTGCTGTTGTATCCAGTTGACAATGGGGGTCTTTTCTCTACTGACTCTTCTTTGTTGACCAATTGTTGCAGCTGGCGTGTTGTGGATGCTGGTGCTCTGAAGGTGAATCCAGATGAAGACAGTGAAGAGGTAATTGTAATGGCTTTCTTCTGTTGCCTGTGCTTAATTTCCATGCATGGGATTCTGTGCAGATGCTGATGCTGTATATTATATTGACACATGTTGACTTCTAAATGTACATGCAGATGTTTCATTCTCATTCCTTCAGTGCAAATAACTTTACCAAAGGAGATGGCAAAATCTGGCACATGAGTGACTTTCTTTCCATCCTAAAGTGACTGTGTGATCTGTTGTCTTTTTCCAAGGAAGAATTCTTTTTGAAGCAGTTGAGAGCCATTTCGTGGGCATGTTGAATGGCTGATAGAAGTGGAAATATCTGCCCACAGGGCATTTTTGCAGGACAAAATAGAATTATACTTCACTGTGGCTGCTGTTACTGTTAAGAAACTAGAGGAGTAAAATTGGAGACCCAGCTGATTTTCCAGATATAGGCTTCCCCACCTTAGCACCCACTAATTGTGTTGAACTACCATTCCCAGCCAATATTAATAATTGTGCCTGGATATCTTTGGAGGGCACCAGCTCAGGCTGGGGGACACTGGCTTAACTAGTCTTGTGAAGGTTCATTATTTATTTGATCAATTGAAAGCTACCCAATTCCCTCTGGGATGCTTACACTATGAAGAATTAAAAAAAAAAAGCAAACAAGAAAATAGACATGTCCAGTCACAGATTCTAAATATTTCACAAATATTTGAAGGGTCAACAACCATCCTACTCCAGAGCCTGGGAGAAGAGCCATGTTTTTAAAGACTTCTAGAGCACTGCTAGGATGGGAGCTACATGGATTTCTGGGGGGATGCTGTGCCAGAGGCAGGTACCATGACAGAGAAGTCACATTTTCTGGGCCCCTCTAGGTAGCATTGTTTGGGACCCATAACATACTGATTCTGCCTGATCTTACCGGATAGGCAGAAATCATGGAAGACAGGCAAACCCTCATAACCCAGCCCCGTGCCATGAAGAGCTTTACAGGTAGTGCTCGAGTTATGACCATTTATTCAGCAACTGCAAAATTATGGCAGTGCTGTAATGAATGGTACTTACATCTGGTCCCTGAAGTTATGACCATTGCAGTGCCCCCACAGTCACATGATCAAAATTGGGTGTTTGGCAGCCCACCCACACTTAAACCTGCAAGGGTGCTTCAACTCCCCCATCTATCTCTCCCTCCCCTCCCATCTTTGCCCTTTTGGCCACCCCACATAGCAGCACTCCTCAGCAGCAGCGCTGGGGATGAAGTAGAGGCCTGAGGCCTTCAGCAGTCTCAGCTGGTCCCCATTGCCCCCAGGCCACTACTTCAGCCCCAGCGCTGCTGTTGCTAAGAAGTGCTACCTTTAGCCCTGCGTCGTGGCCAGCCACCCCAGTGCAAAGCCCCTGCTGCCACCCTGTGCTACGCAGGCCCTGCTGCACCCAGGTGACCTTAGCTGTCTTCCACTGCTGACAAGGTGTGCCTGGCCTGGCCCTATGCAAGTCAGCTGCCAGCCATGCCAGGCCTTCTTCCCAAGGCTGCTTATGCTGTTCTCCAAATAGTGCGCCCCATTCTCGCAATCCTTCGGAAGGCTCAGAAGTTTTCCAAAAGCTTTCCAAAGCATTGCAAGAATAGGATGTGCTATTTGGAGACCAGGGCATGCCATTTTCATGATGCCTCAGAAGGGTTTTGAACCTTTCCACAATGCTTCAGAAAGCTTCTGATGCCTTGTAAAGCATTGTGAGAATGGCGCACCTGCCATTCTCCAAATAGCGTGCCTTGTTCTCACGATGCTTCGGAAAGCCTCCGAAACTTTCCAAAGGCTTTCCGAAGCATTGTGAGAACAGGGCACACTATTTGGAGAATTGTGCGAATGATCTTGGGAAGAATGCCTGACACGGCCAGGTGCGCCTCATCAGCAGCTAGGAGGAAGATGGCTAAGGTCAGCTGGGCATGACAGGGCCTATGGAGTGCAGGGTAGCGGAAGCTTTGTGTTGTAGTGCTGGGGTGGCTGGCCACAGGTCTTGAGGCAGTACTCTGTGCTGGCACTGGGCCTGAAGTTGAGACCTGGGGGTGGTGGTAGCCAGCTGAGACTGCTGAAGGCCCCGGACCTGTACTTCAGCCCTGGCACTACCAGTGCCTCTTAGGAGTGCCCCTGCGCAGGGTGGCCAAAGGGCAGAGATTGGGGGGGAGATAGGCAGTGGGGGTTGTTCAGAAGGCAGAGGAAGTAGTCCCTTACCTTATTGAGGCTCAGGGCTGGGAGGGACCAAGCCTGGAGTGCCTTGGATCAGGGTGGGTCCTTGCCTAATGGCCAGTGGGATTCAGTTAACAAGGGCAATGGAGAGTGCTGGGGTTGCTGTCGCTAAGCAATGTGATCATGTGATGTTTCGCGTACCGATTGCATTGCTTAGCGACGGAAATTCTGTTCTCAGTTACTGTTGTAACTCAAGGACTACCTGTATAGGTAATAACCAGCGCCTTGAATTGTACCTGGAAGCTCACTGGCAACCAGTGCAGCTCATGGAGCAGGGGCTTTTTCAGCTATGTCAAGAATGCACCAAAAAATAAATTATCCATTAAAAGTAATGCACTGGGATTTGGTTAGCTATTTGAGGATGTACAGCCTGCCACCATACAGTAGCTAGAAAAAGTCCAAGTAAGATTTCTACTAGTTTTGGCAGAAGGGGCACACCAAAAAATCACCTTGAATCCACAATATCTGAGGCAACATTCAAGGCCCAGGTTTCCTTGTATCCAGCAAATAATGGTTGACAAATGGGGAGGGAAGGCAGAGAGAGACCCTGGGATTTTGTAATATTTAGCTTGGTGAAAGTGTGACCATGTTCTTGAAAAGTGCTACCAGAAAAGAACTGTGTGGGCTGAGGCATGCAGCCAGGCATACTATAAGTTGCAAAAGCAGGATTGTGGCATTAGCATCATGTTGTGTTTGGCTATGTTAGCTGTCTCTCTAGTAAGGCCAGAGTTGAGAGAGAGGCAACTTCAAAGGAGAAGGCAACAAGCTGCTGCTTGTTACCCATTAAGAATAAAAGAGCTGCCTAATCAGTGTTACATCTCACCGTGCTTTTAAATGAAAACCTCATACTCTGCTATGTCTTATTTTATAGGTATTAGTAGGTTCCTAGGCAACACCTAAATAGCCCTCAGTAACCATCTCAAGGTGGGAGGCTGCCTTACACTTGGAAGGGGAAATCTTGTTTATTTGCGGTAGAGCCCAGCAGCATTTTTATATTCTCAGGGCTGATGGATCAGTGACATTAGGGGACAATTGCTTCGTTTTATGCAAACCCAAACAAATTGAGATCACCATGACCAATGATTCTTTACTGAGCTCAGCAGTGAAGAGATCTGTTTTCTTTTTCTTTGCCCCATCCCTGCCCTCTCACAGGCAATTTTTTTACTCCAGTTAATGAGCAAATGTATGAAATTGCTGCATGAGTGGTCCCTGGAAGGGTTTTTCAGCCTGCCACTGAGCTGTATCTAAGTGGCTAATGAGGAGGATCGACAGATGCAGTTTTTGGATCCTTGGTATCTGTAAGGCTAGGTTTAGCATTGTCCACTGAAGATTCCTGCTCGTTAGATTAGAGCGCAAAGATCCTCCCCATTCCAGCAAATAGAAATCAGATGAGTAGAAGATTATTCCTAAGAGCTGTATTGTGCTCTAGATCAAGATGGCGTGAAAGCCAAAGCATTTTCATGTGGAGGAGTCTTTGCTCTCCCACAAAAGAGCTTGTTATGTGCCCCAATATCAAAAGGAAGAAGCTGATCCACCTGGCCTGTTTGTGCTATCACACAATTTAAATGGGTCTTCTCTGTTGAAGAAACCATAGTTCCAGCATTACTTAGCAGGTATTTGGAATTCAGACTCCAACTGAAGTAGCCACTCTCAAAACAATGACAGTTTTTCTTTGTTGATCATGGGATCATAGTATGATGGTGACAAAGTTGTCCATGCATTGGATTTTGCCATTTTTCTTTGGGACGGTTCATGTGAATATGCCATCAGATGCTCAGTTTTAACCACATCTTAGGAAATTGAACCTTCTTCAGGAAATTGTACTGATTGTACCTAATGTAAGTACTGTAGAAACTTTCACAAATAAGTAGCTTTTTTCTAAGAATAATTCATTGGTTGTGATTGTATATGCCCAGACTTTTGAATACCTTCTTTGTAGAGTATGATTTATGGAGGAGATAAAAGAAAATTTCAATTCCTAGAGTTTGAAATGGGGGGAGGGAACCTGCTGCCACCATGTTTCTAATCCTCATGAAGATATGACTGAGGCATGCAAATAGCATACATGGATATATAGAGCTAGCTTTCTGTATCTGGCAAATGTATTTTTCGTTTTTGTTTCTTATGAGCCCAGTGCCTCGTAGATAATAACACTCCAGAATCATATAGTGCTCTGCCTGTTTTATTTCCAAATTAAGGCCAGAAAAATAATACTATCAATATTTTAAAAAAGAAAGTGGTAAATACAGCAGGGGAGGAGGGGAACAGATTTCCCCAGCCTGAGTGCTCTTCCGATTTGAGTCCCAAGATTCTCAGCCAGACTGCCCATCACTGAGATTTGTGGGAGTTAAAAGTCCACATAGGTGGAAGGTGCCAGGTTGGAGAAGGTTGCTCTAGTTGCATGGAAATATATTGGAGCCAGAAATGTATAAACTACCTTCTCCTTGAGTTCTCTTAGTTGTTTTTTATAATATTCTTATTAAAGTTTTACATAGATAAAAGTTAATACAAAAGTAAAAAAGTTATACAAACAAAAAAGTAAAGAAGAGAAAAGAGAAAGACATATAAAAGGTGACCCCCCCCTCCAAACAAGTATAAACGTTTGCAGTAACTTAAGATCTTCTCTAGTATTACAGAAGAAAAAAAAACACTTCCCATTTGTCATCCGTTGATAATAACCAAATTATAAAAAATTCATCAATCTTACATAGCAAAAGCATTAAGAGTACCAATAATAATAACCTATGTATTTTAACCTTAGACAAATAAATCCATTATGCATTTTAACTATAGCTTTCTCAGATAAGTAAAACATAAAAGATTTATCCCCATAGGCATAAAAAATACCAATAATAGTAACGTATCTTAAACTAAATCAAATAGGTCCCTTTTACATTCAAACTTATAACTTTCTCTAACAAATAGGACGCAGAAAGTTTATCCCCATATGAAAAAAATCATTAAATCCTCACTGTACAGTCCTGGTTATAAGAAAAGATTCCAATAGTAACAATCCAGAATCACAACTTATACAATTTAACCCTGATCAAATAAGTCCACTTTTGAACTTGTTTTTCTTCTTTTTAAGAGGCTTGATCTTCATTCGCTTCTTCAAATAAAGTCCCATGTGATGATCTCCTATCATTTTCTCCATTATCATACTCCCCTTTTGTGGATCTAGAATAAAATAGCTCTCAGAGTCATTCTTCTGATTTATAATATGAATATCCCCTTTAATTGTTAAAACATCATCTAACATAATTTGTAGGTCCAGTGCAGCTTCTTTCTCCACGTCACTCTTGTAGTTGAACATTTTAAAGTCCCTTTTCAAATCCACATCTTCCATGTCTTCCATATCACTTTTACAGTCTGGTAATTTTTTAAAGTCCATTTTAAGATCCCTATTCAAATCATCCTCAGCCTCTGTTTTATCCAGTAGTCTTTTCTTCTATAACCTCTGTTAACTCCACTGTAGGAGTATCAAAAAGTTTTAAAAATAAGTCCTGAACACGTTCCCAAATCGACTTAAATTCTTCTATAATAAAATAATATTCCTCCATTATGTTAGTAAATATCTTTTTTAATTGCTCTCTGGTTCCCACTAGTTGACCTTCAAAACCCGGTCGTATCTTTTGTTTCTTTTCAGAGTCAAAACTTTCCCACAGTAAGGTTTATTACAGTTAATTCCAAAATCATAACCTGTATAAAATTTAAAACAATCTATGAAAACTATTATTTCAAATCCATCTGGCCCCTTAACTGACCCAGCCAACATTCTAAACTCCGTTTTGCTGTTTCCAAAAATTTACAATTTTTTTTTTTAGTATTTAAACTTACTTAAATCTTCTTTCTTCAAGGATAGAAGGAAAATCTCCTGGTATGCAGCAACTTGCCCTTCAGAAGGTTTTTAATTTCCAAATATATTTTATTTTATTTATTTTTATTTATAAATCAAATTTATATCACCGCCCAACTCCCCCACAAGGAGGG